GATAGTGGATTTTAGGAGAAGACCTCCTATTCTACCACCTCTTACAATACTTGACAACACAGTATCAACAGTAGAGACCTTCAAGTTTCTAGATTCAACAATATCTCAAGACTTAAAATGGACACCTAACATCAAAAATGTCATCAAAAAAGCACAACAAAGAATGTTCTTTCTGCATCAACTCAGAAAGTCCAGAGCTGCCCAAAGAGCTGCTGATACAATTCTACAAAGGAATTATTGAGTATGTCATTTGCACCTCTATAACTGTCTGGTCTGGCACTGCAACCAAACAAGACAGATACAGATTTCAGCAGATAATTAGAACTGCAGAAAAAACAATTACTACCAGACTGCTTCTATTGAAGACCTGTATACTGCACAAGCAAGAAAGAGAGCTGTGAAAATATCTATAGACCCCTCACATCCTGGACATAAACTGTTTCAACTTCTTCCTCAAGACAACGCTATACAGCATTGCACACCAAAACAACTAGACACAAGGAGTTTTCCCCCCATGCCATCATTCTGCTAAACAACTAATTCCCACAATACTGTCAAACTACCTAGTAGGGCTGTATTACTATTATCTTTCTCATCCTTCCTATTACCTATTCCTTATCTTCTTATGACTATAACTTTGCTGCTTGTATCTTATGATTTATAATATTTTACTTAGTATCCTAGTATAATTTATGTTGACTGCTTATTTAGTATCCTATGACCATCACTGTTATATTTATGATTATAATCATGTGATTTATCACCTGTTGCTTGTATGTATATTGAAAGCTTATGTACTGGAGACAAATTCCTTGTATGTCCAATCACACTTGGCCAATAAATAATTTGATTCTAAAAGTAGAATGAAAAGCTGGAGTTCTAAAGCTCCCAATAATGAAACCATCCATTTGAACCTAATAGTGAGTTCCCATAGTAAATTAGTTGTCACTGAGTCAGGCTTATCTGCTAGTGACTGTATGAACAAACATTCACTATCTCAATCAGTCTTCAATAACCATCCTTGTTTGTTGTCCTTCCCTTTTTCAGCTACCTTATCATCCCATTCATCATGCAATAATTTGTGAAATTTTACTTGCCGATTATTGCTTTAAGAAGGCATTTGGTCCAAAACCAAATAGTTAATGTTCTTAGTAACCATATCAAAATCTGCTTCTGGAAAGTATCCTTCTTTTATATTTTCTCAGTGCTCAACCTTTAGAACTGTACCCTGGAAAGACTATGGCTTGAACTACTCTGTGGATGGAACACAAATATATTTATTCTCATCATCCTAAATTCATCACAGATGCTGAAGATTAATTTTTTTACCTCTTCAGTATCCTGTCATTTTTTTCTGTCAAGCCAAAGCAAATTTTCTACCACTTCAGTGCTTTGCTGTCACATCAAACTTCACTTTGCATGCTGGATTCTAGTTGATGTTACATTTTAGGATTTAACATTAATCAGGATTTTTCATTTTTATTTTCAGAATGCACTTTTCTAAGATTTAACCTTTGGGCTAACAAAAGGACACCATTCAGACCCTTTTGGTAGCACTGACTTCTGGGTGGCCTGTAGGGATTAGGAGTGGGGAGCATAGTATTCCAGAAATTCTTTTCCTTTGTGATCAGTTCCAGTCAATGTTGACTGTGCAGGGTGTCACTTTGTGGGACCCAAGAAGCAGGGCACTTTTGTCAAGGTGATGCTTTCTGGAACATCATTCTTCCCAGAATGTGTACAGGTTCCCTTCTTGCTTTATTTAAAGAAGCCTTTAAAACCGGGCTCTTCCCTCAGGCCCTGAGTGAAAGTAGATGCTAGACCTCTTATCTTGATGTTTTGGGTCTCTCTCTGTTTTCTTCCAGACTCTTTTTTAAGCAATGGGTATCTTTCTTGTATTCGTGCAGCTTGTTACCTGTCCAGAATTGTGACAAATTAGGGCAGTCTATACATAAAACTGTAACCTATGCACCTCAGAATGTGTTTGACTGCCTATTCTAGTTGACATTGCTTCTAACATTGCCATTTCTATAAGTTCACATATAAGTAAAATATGCAGGGACAACATGCATCCTTTTCTCATGAATTTTCCCATTCTGAGCCATTAGTTTTCCAAATTCAGTAATTATCATTCATTGTAAAAGTTACTTGGAAGAATAATTAACTATTGTGGCCTAACCATAACCTTAGTATATTTGATATTGTTATAATATATACAAACTGCCACCCTCCCATAGTCAATAAAGCAAAGACAAATCTTTTTTATATTCTTTGCCTCTTTCCACATCTTACATTAACTATCTAATTACACCTTTATACCTTTTCTGAAACTTCTCTGTGCAATTGGTGTATCATTCTCCATGTATGACTCCATTCTTTGATGGCTTGCATGAGAAATCAGCACAACGATTCAGTAGTTAATACATTATTTTGCATCTCCTTTTTGAATTAATAAAATATAAATAAACTGATACCTAGATGCCTTTTGTGTTTGGAAGGACAATGAAAAAAAGAGAAATCCAAAGGAGCTGTTGTTTGTGAAGTTGTAAGTAAAAAGATGAGGACCACTATTGTCACTTAGTATCAACTAAATGCAACTAGTGCAAACATCCAGCATCCAGCGAAAGGGGCAGACAAAGCACTTCCACCTTGCTGCTATGAAAATTGCATGGATATTTCAATGTATGCACCAGGAGCTGAATTCAACTGGAGAGAATCTTTGTATTTACTATTTGCAATAATCCATTAATACTCATAATAATTGACTGAAATGATATTAACAATTTTATGATGCCATGTAAAAGACAATGTTAGTTATATGACAAATATCAAATGTCTCAAAACAAAGACGCTTCAGAAAAGCACAGTGGCTAGCCACGCAGATGTGCATTCATTTTAATATCTAAAAGAATGAATACATCTCATTCATTCCAATTAGAAAACCAAATAAATTCAATTGATGAATTCCAAATGAAAAATTTATTACTCATTGTTTTAACTTGCATTATTTCTGTTTCTGCTGGATAAACACCTAACACACACAGCAGTGGGCTGTATGAGTTAAAGGGGGGAAGGTAAGAGAGTAATAAAATTGTCAGGAATTAAATGAACTATACAGAATAGAAAACTTTGAGCTAACTTTGGTAGTTGGGTTTTTTTTGTATGACTAAGTCTTAAACATTTCACATCAGATGATATATTGTAAAGGGGTTACAAATGAGAGAAGAGCAGACAACCTCCCATTGATACCCAAGGCAAAATATATATAAATGGCTTATAAAACTGACTTTATTTGGGACTGAAATTCAGCAGGCACAAAGCTGGGGATGGGGGTGAAATAGATGGACAACACTAGTATAATATATTAAAAGCTCATATGATTTAAAACATTCCATAGTCATAGGTAGCAAAATATGCATTTTAAAATTAATAGAAATAAGATCATTTAAAGCAATGAACTGAAAATGAAAACTAAAAAAATTGACCTTTCAATAATGAAAATGAATGGGAAACTTCTGTAACAATCACTTCATAATGAAAGCTTGTTACTACAATACATTTTGTAATTTAGCTTGTATTATCAGTATTTGACGCTTAACATTTTAACAAGATTTTAAATGAACTACATTCATTATTCACAATGTTGTTTAGAGAAACAGAAACATTTGACAAAATATAATATTTAATGCAATTCCTACTTAAAATCACTATTTTGATTATATGTTCACTCAACCACCACAGAAATTAACAGCTACTACGTTCTTTGGCGAGCAAGAGCCTGTTACAAATACATTTTGCCATTTTTTCCAAAATATTTCATGTTACATCTTTAAACCAAAAAAATTCTATTGCACTTTTAATTTGAACTGTTCTTTTAAGCACCTTAAAGCATGGTACCTCGTTTTATAAATTAAAGTATACCCAGTTTTTCAACCACAGTCATTTTAAGGCTGAATACAAATATCCTGGGAAAATAGTTTTATGACAAAGAGTATCACAACATGCAGAATAAGATAATTATAATAATTATAATCAGAATTCTAATCAGAATTAGAATACTAATTTTACAAAACCTTGCTGAAGCTCTCCAAAGCAAGGTGCAAAAGAATCAGAATCATTCATACATTTTTTTATGTTTTAATTCATCTGTTTTTCCTTTTTAATGTTTTGTCACTGAGTATAGCATTGGGTGAATTTGTCTTCATTTTTAAATTCCTTTTTAAAACTCGGGTTTTTGGAGAGATATAAACCTTGTAAGGAGATTTTGATTCATATTTATTCATGTTTTTACACTTTAATATATTACATGGGGTGGACAATCTATCTGTTAACAGGTATCATTGGAAAACTGAAAGGCTAACTTCTTTTATTGACATTTGTCTAACATTTCAAATGCTGTGGTTTTTTTAAAAAAGAGGTTCAGCAGTAGATTTTGTAGAATTTTCCAACAACAGAAAATTCTTTTAAACATAATTCCTCCACATAAAATTTAAAACATTACATTGAACACATTATACAACATTATAATAAAAGGCATAATCTTTTTACATTTTCCCATTATTAAGTATATAGAGTTTTCTGGCAGCAGTAGAAATCAATAAGCAGCTATTTGTTGTGCAATATTATGGATGCTGTTATGTACAGTAGAATGAATCTTTAAGCAAGTAAAAATATAGATATATTGATGCATTTAAAGTTCATTTGAAGCAAAATTAAAGGTGGTGTCAAAACCTCTAGTGGAGTTTAGTACCAGTTTGTCAAAAAATCTCTAATCATCTCATCAGAGTTTGAGTCTAAGCAAGAAAAAGTCCCAAATATTTACACTGTATCAAAACAATATAAAAGTTTACTAGTCACTTCCAGTGTGCAAAGTAAGCAGAAGTGATTACTGATTCTGTAAAATCTCGTTGAAGCATTCCAAAGCCGAGTGCAAAACAATCAGAAATCTTTAGGCAAGTTCTTGGGTATCTTTTTAAATAGTCTGGTTTTTTTTTCTCCTTTAATGCTTTATTGTCAGGATAACTTCTAAGGTTAGTGCAAATTCATCCACCATTTAGGATCTGTAATCCTTCCGAACTGTGTGTGCCATCCAGTTTACTTTTGTAGTCCAACTTTCTCTGAGTGCTTCATCAAATTTCTGCTTAAACTGTTTTAATGCTTCCTCATCACTCTTTCCTAAGGCAAGAGAGTCCTGAGAAAAGTAACAAAAACATGTTATTTGTCTTTTATGCTCTATATTTTCAGATCATTTTGCAGACTGTTGACCAAATCTATTGTTCTGCAGTTAATTCCTATGGTTTGCAGAACTCAACAAGAATATGAGATAGTAGATAATATTGATTTACATATCTGGCAAGAATTGTGGGAAAGAAACAGGAAACTCACTTTAGCTACTTCTTATAAGGAAAATCTTTATAAGATGTTTTACAGATGGCATTTCCCACCCACGAGGTTAGCCAAAATGGGTCCAAATCTTTCACCCATATGTTGGAAATGTAAAATAGCAATAGGGACCTATTACCACATGTGGTGGGAATGTCCTAAAGCCCGTGATTATTGGAATAGGATAAGAAAATGGTTGAAAGAAATATTAATGTTGGAGATAGAGCTAAAACCCGAACTCTTTTTATTGGGTATAACCACAGATAAATATGACAAGGGAATAGTCTACTTGATGTTGCACATCTTGACTGCTGCTAGACTGGCTTTTGCACAAAAGTGGAAGAACAAAGAAACTCCCACAGATAAAGAGATACTGCGTAAAATACTATCTTGTGCTGAAATGGACAGGCTTACGATGGAACTGACAGATAAAAGCGGATCAGAATATTTTGAAATCTGGGATAAATTGTACCATTGGTGGGAATCGAAGAGGACTGTTGGGGTTATAGATTAGCGATAAGATGGAAATATATATATTCTTAAGTTAGCAAATAGAGAAAATATATTTAGTATTGTATAAAAAGTTTATATATATTTATAGAGATAAAGAATTGAATTTAAGAGGAGAAATACCGTAATTTGATAGAAATGTATAAACTGGAATGTTTTCTTTTTTTTGGTTGTATTATAAATAAAAAAATTTAAAAAAAGAATATGAGATAGTGCTAGCATTTTTTACTTTAGAAGAAAGGAATTTGTGTTACAACGAACAGTTCAACAGAAAGTTCAGGAATTATACTGGCATTTCGATTCTCTTACAATCAAAAGCTATTAATTTACAAAGTATAATCCCTAAGTACGGTACTTCACTAATTCAAAGATTTCTTCCTAAACTCATCTCCGGGAAAGTTCTATTAACTTGTGCTGGGATTATGAATGAATTGGTAAGAAGACATTTTACAAAATGCACAAGGACCTCTCACCATTTGAAATTCACAATATTATGATCTTACCCTTCCTTTACCAAAAAATTATATCAAGGGGCTTGTCTACTTTACCCCATAAATCTGAAGATTAAGCAGAATACAAGATTCAGAGACAAATGGTCAGAAATTTTATGGTACAAAAAAAATTTCTAAAAATTATCACATACCGTAATAATTTTTACATAATACCAAGATAATGTTGAAAGTTTGAAGATGCTGCTCTGAGCAAACATCAATTGCATATTTATAAATGAAAATGAACAATAAAATATTCCTTCATGGAAGAATCAGTTCTGTAAAAACGAAGTTGAAAAGCTCCACATATAGAGCTCCTTCTAAAGCATGTGATTTAAGCTAGAAAATCCATTTACTTCACCATTTTTTATATGAGAGTGTTAAAAGTGATGTTCACTTTTTGGAAAATTATTTTTGCACTGTTTATTAAAGAATTATTCAGGGTTCAGATGGAAAAAAACAAGCAAAATTATATTATGTATACTTGTGTATTTGCTCGGTGGAAGCTATTAGAAAAGTGCATATACTGTATCTATGTTGTCACACATATTGTCCAAGAAATAAGATAAAAAGTCTCTAAAGAGAAAGAATGGGCAACATGATGTCTTCCAGATACTGCTGAATTCAAACACCTGTCTGGTTTAGCCATCACGATCAATGAAAAAGCATGATAGGAACAGCCTTGCAATAATATAGTAACTTGGGTTAGGTTAGGGAGTTGAGGTGGATATTGTGGCAGGGCTGTTGAAGGTCTCTACCTGAGATTTTAGGAAGATGCTACTAGTTGGAATTAATACTGTTGCCTAGGTTAGATGCAAAAGTTCATCTTATATGAGAAATAATAAAAACATATTATATAATTACTATGAAAAAGCTTGGAGAGAATTTAGAAAAAATGTACAATATTATCTGACTAAATTGTCAATTATTTATTTAATCTATATCCAGTTTTCTTGGAAAACATAAGATGTGACTGAAAACTAACAAATGCGTTTCATCAACAACTAAGGAGTTGAACATGTTTCCCCCATATCACTAAACTATTAGAGATGTACCTTTAGATATTGGATGTCTTTAACAGAAGTTAGCTCTGGAAGCCCAGCTGTTAACATTAGTGCAAACAAGGTGATAAATAGGTTGCCATGTCTTCGCAGAATCAGGTATGCTTCTTCACAGTATTGGCGGAACCTTAACATTAGCATTAAAAAAACAGACACTGTAAATCAGGACAATAAAAATAGACAGACTGGACAGGTGGCCTGGTCTGGTTTAAGACAATGATGAACAAAATAGATTCATCACTGAGAGTTGATGTTTATACCATCACTTGTTCTTATTTTGCAACTGTTTGAAAAAAAGACGTACAGGTTATTTATTCTGAAAAGTACTTATTTGCAAATAGTTTGCTTTATTTTTTACTTAGCAACAGCATGTATAAGAGCATGATAATTCTAGTTATTTGACAGAATGAAGTTGTGTATTATAATCCAAATTAGAGTGACAAATATTCATATAGACATGGAACAAGCGAGTAAACCATAGATAAAAATTCTCAGGATCAGAAATATGATTACATCAGTGTCTGATGTCAGGAATGAATTCATGCAACCCTGGATATCAGTTATTCAGTTTTTTCTAAACTATTCCCCAAGAGAAGAAACAATGTTTTCTAGTATTACCACTATTGATTATTCTATATAAATTTAAAGGCATTATTCCCCCAACTGAAACAATTGGACATTGTTTTAAAAAGTGGTTCTCAAATTTATCTATTACATTTAACACTGAGTTCCAAAAACAACTTTTATTTATGTTCTTAAGTATTCATGGGAATACTTCAGCAGGTTTTCTAATAAGTAAAAAAAGAGAACCATTTTCCTTGTTTTTTAAAAAAGGAGACTTTATTTATTTCAAAAGTATTCAAATATATGGCTTTGTGATCAGCGAAAAAGATTTTATATGGGAAAACAATAGATTGTATGTATGCACATGTGTCCATACACATACAGATATATAGACAGACACACTCTCAAGAATTCTCTTAAAATTCAATAGTAGTTCAAATTCTGATAATCTGATATATTAGACGAATGAGAACAAGCAAAATAGAACTATGTACAGAAGAATGCCTACAAATGCCTACTTTTCCTATAATGTCTATCATATTATTTGTTTTCTTTCATATATGAAGCTAGACATTATGTAAAATCTACTTTCCAAAGTTAAGCTTGACGGTTTATGATGACCTGAATATGTCCTTTTACAAGTTGGGTTTTTTTGGCCACAAGAGTTTTTTTATTGCCTTCCTAGATTTTCCACTCTTATCCTACAGTGTGGAGGTTTCCTATATACTAACCAGGTCTAACCCTGCTTAATCTCCCATCTCCCACCTACTGGACAGGTATCTAAAAATTAGTATAGCGTCAATTTGATTCTGTCACATAGGGATCTAAGACTAACCCAGAACTAAATTATTCTAACAGGTTTAGTACTTACCGGCCAAATTTTTCAGTGTTTCCAGTTTTTCCCTGCTGGATGACATGAATAAAATCATATGTAAGGATGAAAGGGACTCGTTCTCTTTTAATTCCAAATTTGGATTTGAAGTTTCCAAGAATATGACCAAAATCTATATGAAACAGCTGGAAAACAGAACAACATTATATCTGGGAAAATATTCATATTATTCATAACAAAACACTATCATCTTATTTTTAAATTCTTCTGCAATGAAATACAACTGCATCTCTTCAATTATGATGAATAATTGCAAGTTTTCAACTAATAATTTATATCTTTTTAATTAAACCACCTAAATGATTAAATTCCTTCTCCTTGGCAGGGAGAGGAAGTCTGACTTGAGAAAATGCAGTGGCTTTTGGGTCAGTTGATGGAAAGGAAAAAGAGAATTAGGAACAAGGTGAGTTTCTGGTCTAGTGAGATATTTAATCTTCAGTTCTTAATGTTCATATGGAAGTTAGAAATATTCACCCAGGAAAGGATTTATATTTAGGCAGGTATTCTCAGATATATGTTTGGCAAAGGTTTGCTTGCTACTTTATAACTGCCTGAAAAAAGATAATCCCACTAACAATTTTGAGTTAAATCTTGAATTAAACAACAATTTAATATTTGCCAAGTAGGATGGGGAAAAAATCCAAACACATGCTAGCAGTTTACTCACAAAGAGAAAATTGCTGCATCAGGAAGACAACTGCATCTAGTGCAAGGAAGGCAAGAGGAGAAAAATGGCCTGAGCAGAAAAGGGTAGGTCTCACTCCACTGCAATGACTCTTTTATTAGGTCAATACAAAATACTTAACACATACCCAAGGTGGAAGCTATTGTCACATATCAAAGGAGATTTGCAAAGCAAAGGAAGTTCTATGCTCCTAAGGCACAAACATACTCAAAAGCCTATTTAATTTTTTTTAAAGTTATCACTTCATTTTCCTATTATGCAGAAATGTTAAGTTTGTTAGAAAATGTTACATAAGAAAGGTTTTAATATTTTTAGAATGATATACATTTTATGAGAATGATGAAGGTAACAGCATTCTGTGAAAAAACTTTTCCCCAACAAAATCACTATTAGAACCGTTACATGCTGGAAAGCTACATGGCAGTGAGGGGCAAAGGAATCACCATTCTGAGCTGGGAGTGAATGTCTCTACTGGGATATTCCAAACAAACATTTCCCCATTAATATATTGACTCTTACCTGACCATTCTTCCTAACCATGATATTGTCACTGTGTCTGTCTCCAATGCCCAGGACATAAGTAGCTACACAGTAGCCAGCACAAGACAAAGTGAATGCCTCAATGGCTTGATCCAAATCTTCTCTGAATTAGAAAGATAATAGTGTTTATAAATAGACTTGAACCAGACATTTAAAATTTTATACTATATTTTTTAAAGAGCTGCTTAAATTACAGAGCTGAATCTCATTTAGTTTATTTACCAAAATAATTCCAAGAGCATTATTAAGAAAACATCTTGCAAAATGAAATGGCAAATGCAGAAGGAACTTTTGGAATTACTTCCCACCAATTCCTCATTAATTACATCCTCACATCATGCAACTATCATTGAAGTGATTTAAGGACTATTTTCTTTATTGTTATTTGATACAACAATGATTGTATGACTCTACACTGTAAGCTGCTAGCAAGAAAATGTGTATTTTTACGCCCTAAAACTTGTATCATCTGAACTGCCTACAGATCTGCTTTTCTGCAAGAACACTGTAGAGTGCTGCAATGAAGTTCACACATAAAAAAATAGCAGGTGTTGGTGCAGCAGGGGCCTTCTTTTGCATCCTGCCATCTTATCATGAAAGCCCTCACTGAGCACACGAGAGAAGGCTCAAGCTGCGAAAGATGGTTCTGGGTGGTGCAGAAGTGGTTCATAGTGCGATGGCAGGGAAGGCCAGATAGAGGGAGCAGTTGGTTGCAATGGATAGGTGGACAATCAAAAGATGGCCATAAATTTTGTTCAGGTGACTGCGAGGGAAGTGGCCATGACCAGAACTATGAGGAACAGCTGTAAGTCCCTTCATTCAGTGCTGTTGTAACTTTGAATGGTCACTGAATAAATCGAAATTAAGCAAGTATTACATGTATATCAAAGAATGCAATTGTAAGGAACATTAACATTTAAAAATGCTAATATTAAAAAAAAATCTAATATTATAGGAAATCATAAGTGTGGTGAGAATGTTAAAAATGATATGGTTGTAGCAAATTCTTTCACTAAAACCATAGTTGAAAATGCAATAATCAAGATGGATTTTTCTTTCATACATGGCAGCAATGTTGCAAGCAATTCTGGAAGATGATTTATAACAGTATGAACAGTATGAACCTTTCCTTCCAGCCTATTTTTTAAATTAAATATCACTAAATATTTAGTAATTTTTATAAAATATTGGCCTTGTACATGATAACAGCTGCTAGAATTGTTTCACACTACAAATTACCTCCCCCCCCTCTCTCTCTCTCACACACACACACATTCTGCAGGTGTAGAAGGTATTACATGAAAATATAGATGTATTTGCTTATGGAATATCGTGCAATGTTTTAATGTATTTGTGAAACCTGCGTGAATACCTGACAGTAAGACTCTTTAACAACATTCTGTTCCTCTACACAAATGGAAAGGTAGCAAGAGTGATTGCAAAATTAGAAGAGATTTGTTGTTTAAGTCCCTAGGCAGAGGCACCACTGAAGACCAATTAGTTTGTCACAACTCCTTTATTAGTGACTTTCTCAAATGTCACTAATCTGATCAAAAAACTGAAAGGATGCTAAAAAAAACGGGAATAAAGTAATTAAGAATTTTCTACATACCCAGTATTGTATTCTTTAAGCCAATTTAACAGAGCATCTTTGTTGAATGCAGCAGCTGCAGCAACATTACTACTGTTGAGTTGAATGTCTGCAATTGTTTCAGCGGCTGAAACCACCTCAATTAAACCAGAATAATCTCCAGTTGCTAAACAGCCATAAGGCAACAGTCTGGAAAAAATATGAGTTTATAATTAAGTCAGAATATTTTTATTTATTTAAATTATTTTTATCTCCTTTTATCTTCTTCAAAGAGAGTTTAAATCAATATGTTGTCCAAAATCAGTATTTAATAAAGAAAAAGAAAAAGAGGAAAGCATTGTTCTGAATTTCTAGTACTTGAACAACAGATGGTGCTATCTCCCTTATTTCAAAGTACTACAATTGAATGTTGGCCAAATGCAATTTTCAAAAAAGGAAAAATGCATGAGGTTTCCAGAAAAATACATTTACGTAGAGGTCTGATCATTTGCAGTTAGCAATTAAATATTTGGCCCACAAATTTATATGGCAAAAGAAAAAACCCAGGATTAAATTAAAACTCTTGCAAGATATGAAAGATAAAGGGGGATTGGAGTTACCAGAGTGGGAAATATATTACCAAGCATCGAGCTTAACTTGGCTAAAAGATTGGATGGATTTGAAAAATACTAGAGTTTTAACAATAGAAGGACATGACTTGCAAGCAGGGTGGCATGCTTTCCTATGGGACGAAAAATATAAAATACACAGATACTTTCAAAGACACATAGTTAGGAATGCATTGCTACAGACT